CTGGCCACCTCCATGACCTCTGGGTTCATAGCCACCTTGCTGCAGTTGTAATCGCTGCTATTGCCATGACCTTGTCCCCCATGGTCCTGCTGGCCTTTCCTGTAGCACTGCCACCACCACCACTCTGGTCCTGATTTCGATAACCACCGTCACTGCTGCAACCACTCATGGGGGACTGATCTTGGCGACAGTTACCTCTACTACCCCCTCTACCTCCACTGCTACTCTTGTACTGGTTCTGCTACCCATAGCCCTGAGGAGGATTATAGGAGCTTTGGTGTGCACCACAGCTAGGCTGTTGTCCACCATAGCCTGACTGCTGACCATCGTCCCGCTCTGGGGCTGCCTGTAATTGCTGCTCTGAGAACTGCTGCTGTAACTTCCCAAGGTGCTGCTAGGAGCCGGCTGCTGACCATAGCCAGGGTAGGACTGCTGCCCATAAGATGACTGAGAACTCTGGCCACTGCCACAGCCAGCAGTTGAGCCACATCCCTGGGGAGCTGACCAAGTGCCTTAGCTGTTCTGGGTTTGTCCTAAAAAAGAACCATAGGTGCTCTGGCCATAGCCTGAAGTGTCCCCTGACTGGCTGTAGTCACCATAACTCTGCTGTCTATAGGGCTGATTGCTCTGCTGGGAAGCAGACCTATGGATTGCTGCCCAGGCTGGAAGGCCTGCCGCATAGCTTTGAGTTGCTTGTTGAGTATGGTCATTTGAGGCCATGTCGCTACACACGCCTAATGCTTTCTGTATATTAACTCATTCAATCTGCACAGCAACCCTATGATGTAGGTCTTTTATTCTCATTTTATAGATGAGGAAATTAAGGTACTGAGGAATTAAATGATATATGCAAGCTTGCACAACTGGTCTAGAGCTGGGATTTGAAACCAGACACTGGTTTTTTCTTTCTGTGACTACTGAAATAAAACCTCGGTGGAGGTTTATTACTTGGTGGGTACTATAATATAATATTGAAAATAATGTTCTAGCCCTGGCTGGTTTGGCTCAGTGGATAGAGTGTCAGCCTGTGAACTGAAGGGTCCCAGGTTCAATTCCGGCCAGGGGCACATGCCTGGGTTGTGAGCTAAATCCCCCCAGTAGGGGGCGTGCAGGAGGTGGCCAATCAATGATTCTATCTCATCATTGATGTTTCTATCTCTCTATCTCCCTTTCTCTCTGAAATCAATAAAAATATATTTAAAAAAATAAAATAATGTTCTATCCTTTGAAAGATGGAAAATGAGTAAATATTTCAGACAAATGATGAGTCACATTAGCATTTACTTTTGTAAGAATAAAATATTAATTCAATATAAACATTTAAAAGTTGTGCCTTTTTGTGACATAGTTAAATTTTCTCATCAGGCAGGTCTCCTTTGGTTAGTCTTAGTGATATCTTCATAAGTTTTAGGAAATTGAAAAAAATCCAATCAGTCAGACTTATCTTCTTTAACTGATCTCTTGTGCCTTGAGATCTAGAATGATCTTTCATATTGAAGCAGGGAAATGCTCCCGGGAAAAGGAATTGGACATTTTAACTCTCTATATATTTTCGGTTAAAATTAACCTAAATAATCCAATTAGAAATTAACACTCATTTGGATTTTAAGTGTTTCCAAAGAGTTGAGTCTCCTTTGGTAACCCATTATATTTGTAACTTTCACCAAAAATAATTACATTTGGGTTGTTTCGCATCTCAAATTCTTCAAAAATGAAATGTGCTTGACACATATATGTTCATGTTGACCAATGTCACCCCAATAAATTTTAAGAAATGAAATGTGGCAATTCTTTGCCCTTTATAAATTGTGAAGACAGCTACTGGAAAGCTAACGAACTAAGGGGTATTTCCAAATTAAAATTCTAGATTTAAGGCAAGCATAAACATTTGGAGAGGGGAAAAAATAGCTTTTTTAAAAAAAACTCAGAGCACATCTGTAATACTCTCAACAATAAGATTTAAAAATAAAAACAAAAAAGGGCCAAAGGAAATGAGAATTTTGAAAGTAGCAAGGGAAAGGATAAATAAAATAAAAGGTCAACCTGTGGAATGGAAGAAAATATCTGCAAACCATATGTATGATAAGGGATTGATACACAAAATGTATAGGAACTTATACAGCTCAATTGTAAAATGTATAAGGGACTCATACAACTTAATCCACTTAAAAATCGGGCAAAGGACCTGAATAGCCATTTTTCCAAAGAAGATGTACAACTAGCCAACAGGTACACAAAAAGATGCTCAACATCAATAATCATCAGGAAAAAACAAATAAAAAGTCACAATGACATATCAACTCATCTATTAGAACAGCTGCCATCAAAAAGATAAGATAAATGCTGGTAAGGATGTGGGAAAAAGGGAACCATAGTGCACTCTTGTGGGAATGTAATTTGGGATAGCCAGAGTGGAAAACAGTATGAAGGTTCCAAAAAAATTAAAAATATGCCTACCATAGGTCCAGCAATTCAACCCCTCTCCCCACCCCCCCACCCCCACCCCAAATACTTAGAGCAAGGACAAAGTTGTAAGAAAAAACACATATTGCCCTGGCTGGCATGGCTCAGTGGCTAGAGCGTCAGCCGTAGGGTTGCGGGTTTGATTCTCATTCAAGGGCATTTACCTGGGTTGCAGGTTTGAACTCTAGCCTGGTTGGGGTGTGTGCAGAAGGCAATCAATTGATGGTGTTGCTCTCACGTGGATGTGTTTTCTTTTCTCTCTCTTTCCCCTTACCCCCTCCCTCCCACCCTGTTTAACAATCAATAGACAATATCTTTCGGTGAGGATAAAAAAAAAAAAAAAGAAGAAGAAAGAAAGAAAGAAAAAGAAAAAGCACATACTCCGCTTGTTTGGAGTAGTAAATCAGCAAAATTTCAGAAATTTCTTCTGAAATAATCTGTCTGTTAAGCCTCAACATAAATAAAACTTGCTGAACACTACCTGACCTTTGGTTTTGAGGACCCAGAATGAATGGAAAATGATAACACTAAAGATTTGAGAAAAAAAATAACCTCGTTAATAGAATAGTTAAATTATTGTATAACTGTACTATGGAATACTAGGAAATCATTTAAAAGATTGAAGTAAACCTATATACACAGACACGAAAAACTGTCTATCATGTATTAAGTAGAAAAAACAGCCCCAGATCAATATATGTGCTATAATTTAGCTAATATTAAATATATATTATAAATATATATCACCTAATATTTAAATGTATACATTATAATTAGTATGCTTTTATTACTATTATTATTTTTCTTGATTTCAGAGAGGAAGGGAGAGGGAGAGAGAGATAGAAACATCAATGATGAGAGACAATCATTGATTGGCTGCCTCCTGCACACCCTACTGAGGATCGAGCCCACAACCCCGGCATGTGCCCTTGACCGGAATCAAACCCAGGACCCTTTAGTGCACAGGCTGCCGCTCTAGCCACTGAGCAAAACTAGCTAGGGCTAGTATGCTTTTATATGCCAAAAGGATATAAACCAAATTGATAATAGCAAGGTACTCTGAGTAGCAGGATAGAAGAAGTAGGGAGAGACTAAAAACTTTTGTCTTTTATTTTATACATTTCTGTACTGTTTAATTTTGATAGGTGATTTTATTTTATAATATTTAAAACTTTAAAATTTTATATAAGGAAAAAATTCCCTGCGGTATTATCAAACACTAGAATAGATTATATAAATAAATCATGTACTGTAGAAGGTATTAAAGATCTATGATATTGACTAAAAGTAGGGGGAATTGGTTTTCAGTAAACAAAAGTTCTAACTATTTTCACTTTTTTCCTCTTTCAGAAAGCTACTCTTTTACAAGATCCCCTATATGTTAGTGAGCTCAGTCTTGCTATTGGAGGTCCAAAGCCATACAGGTAAGGAGTGGTGATATGATAGAGTTCCATGGAGGAGTGTTCTCTCCTCTATGCCTCTCCTAACTCTATGTTGCTGACATCACAATGAGCCTTTACCTCAACTCTGTCCTGAATTTTAGGCCTGCAAACACTATTACCCACTGGACATCACCTCTTGTAGGTTCCTGAAAGTCAGCATATTCAAAACAGAACTCAGCATCTTCCTTCTGGAACCTAACCCTCCTCTTTTGTTTCTTAACACGGGGTATGATGTTATTACCCCAGATCACTTAAACCAGAGTCCTGGATGTCACCTTTACCTTCTCTCCTCCCTTCACTATCAGCCACATGATTTATTGTGCCAATCACCATATGATTTATTGTGCTTTGATATATCTGGGTAACATTCACTTTTTTCCACTGTCACACCCTTGGGCCCAGCCTGGGCTCCTAATATTTTCCGAGCTGGCCTCTGCCTTCACTCTTGGCCCTTTCTATACCTTCGCCTGTGCAAAAGAGGACTCTTTCAGAAGCACAAATCTGATCATGTGATTCCTCCCTTAAAGCCTTTGAATGACTCCCCATTGCCCTTAGGAGAAGGCTCTAAAATCTTTAACAGCTTACACAGATCTTTCTCATGTCTCCCTTCATTTTTTTCATCCTCAAGTATTGTGTCCTCCCCACTCCTGCCTTAAGCACCTCACCAAATAAACTCACAGTTCTCAGAAAGCTCCGTTTATTTTTCCTCTGGGCCCTAACATGATGGCCTACTCTCTACTCTTCTTCCCCTTCATGAACAACTTCAGTTCATCAAGTCTTAGCTTACTATCCCTTTCTCTAAGATTAATTTCTCAAAACTAAGTTAAGAGGGGCCCCTCCAGCCCTCTCCAGTTTTCTCAATGGTTAGAACATCAGTCTGCAGTGGTGCATTTGGGAGGCAACCAATCAATTTCTCTCTCTCACATCAATGTTTCTCCCTCCCTCCCTCCCTGCTTCCCTCCCTTCAACTCTCTCTAAAAATCAATGGAAAAAATATCTTCAGGTGAGGATTAAAAAAAAAGAGGGGCCCCTCCATAACATCCTGGCCTGATACTTCATGTAGCACTTACCAGTCGATATTATGGTTGCCTGTTGATTATGTGTTGCCCTACTATGCAGTGTGCTCTTTAAGGGCAGGGACCTGATCACTGGCACATAGAGGCTGCCAATTAAGCCTTCAGAGAATGAATGAATGAATGAATGAATGAATGAGATAAGATAGAGGCAGGGACCAGATCATAAAGGGCTTTATATTCAAAGCTAAGAAGTGTGGGTTTTATCCAGATTTCGTAGTTCTATTAGGTTGTTGTCACAGTCATCCTTATATTGAAGTAGTGACTTGTGATGTGACTGGTTCTGCCAGTAATGGTGAGACCCTAGAAAGCAAGCAGTATGTCTTATTAATTTTTGTATTTGTCTTACTTTACACAGTGCTCTGAACATAGAAACCACCTAGTGAACTGATGGCGTTAACGATTTTGATATTAAGTTTAAGTCAAGGGCAAGTTATGAAAGGTTTACAATAATGATGTTTACTAGCAGGTCATGTAAATGAGTTAAAAGTAAGTTAATTTTAAAAGGTACATATTCATTTCCCACTGAAGGAACCAAAGTTCCTTACAGGAATAACTAATTCTAGGTCTGGAGGAGGAAATACACAACATGAGTCTGAAACAGCTTGTGCCAGAATGCAAAGGGTAACAGGACCCCAAAGAACACACGAGCTCACATGAAGGTACTCCTAAGAGCCAAAATGAGACAATTTCAGTATCAGAAGAAACAATGAATGAGGTAGTTGAAACACAATAAATATACACAAATTTTAGCACCTCCACACAGAAATAAAAATGCATTGAACTCCATTAGAAGCACATACAACAAGTATCTTATTTACATCTTAGGTTTAACAAACAGAACATAAAAATATTTTTAAGGCAATAGAGGACATTTTAATACAAGACTGGGTATTTGACAGTACCAAAGAATTATTAATAATTTTGTTGGGTGTGATAATCATGATATTGTAAGAAAATGCTTGTTTTATTTTTATACATAGGAGTTAAATAACAACGTTTGTGATTTCTTTTGCAAAAAGATGGTAATAGAGATAGTTTAGAGAATATCTACATGTTTTCATATGTTAGTCTAAAAGAGTATTAGTTTTAATTTTGGTGTTTATTTAAAGTGATTTTAAGCTAATTACATATTAAAATAGGCTCTAGCTTTGTATATGTGTGGCTTGTAACCCTGAAGGCAAGAGGGAGAGTTCTGCCACCATCTTGACTCACGAAAAGTATATTTCTTACAAAGTTAATTCTTGATGGCAACATATTTAAAATGCAGTGATTTAAAATGCACTCTCAGGGATATAGTATATGCACAAGCACACAAGAAATGGTCTTTGCCTGCAAGCCACCTTCAGTTTAAAGGAAATAAATATTCATTAGGTTTTTAAATTAGAACTCTGTCACAAATGTGAGTTCTGTAACCTGACCATTGTAAACATGTACACAGTGTTTCTGGAATAATGTATGAAAAGCCTTTTCCAGCTGTCAAACATTATACAAATATAAGTGATTTTATTTATTTATTTATTTACTTACTTATTTTTGTTAATCCTCACCCAAGGATATTTTTCCCATTGATTTTTAGTAAGGGTGGAAGGCAGGGGAGGGAGCGAGCGAGAGAGAAACATCGATGTGAGAGAGACACATCGACTGGTTGCCTCCAGGACGTGCCCCAGCCAGGGCTGGGAATCCAGCCTGCAACTGAGGTGCCTGCCCTTGACCAGAATTGAACCCTCAACCCTTCAGGTTGCAGGTCTAACCACTGAGCAACTCATTAGGGCTATAAGGTTTTATTTTTATTAAATGTCTGGAAAAATGAAAAATATAGATAAAATAGAGCTTATCATTAGATCAAGAATTCTTTTTGCCACATTATTTGGATGAATTTATATTTTCTAGCTGATGGAAATATAGAATATTTGTTAACATGAATATAATTTCCCTTTAGTCCTCAACTGAATAATGGCGTCTTCTGGTACTGACTTTTTCTTATTTAAATTAGTCAAAGGAGGTTCGTCATTCATATAAAAGCAAAAGTTCTCTGAATGTTCAAAGAAACTGTGATTATATGTAACTTCTCTGTAGAAATATAGATTCCTGAATCTAATTTGAAATTATAAAGTATATGATACCTCAATTTATATATACATTGATTTTTAGTATAAAGAGATTATTGTGCTTTTTCTTATGAAATCTGTTCTGGTCTTTTGGGAAAAAAAATAGTTTAGTATAACAATCTATTATCATAGGTGCCAAAGGATAAAAATGATTTTTTCCAAGGATCTTCACAAATTGCTGACTCTTATTGGGAAAGACTAAAAAACCAACTTCAAAATAATTCTGCTGATACTGTATTATTTCTGAGATTTTGCTTTTCTAAGCTCATTTGTTTGTGAAAACTACATTTCTGCTGTTTTTGGAGTATCTCAGAGGATAGAGGGATTTTACAGTTATTCTTTAAATGCAATGTGGCAATAACTAGAAGTGGATATGTAGGAAAGTAAAATCTCAAAGCTCATTCCTACTTTATTTAGATGCTATTTATTAAACACTGTATGCTAAGTGTGTGTGGTAAAGTATCAAAACAGCCCAATGGGATAGGTTCTATCATTACCCTCATTTTATAGATGAGGAAATTGAGGCACAGACAGACCAGGTAACTTGTCTATGGTTATTACCTAGCTGAGTAGGGGCAGATGTAAATTAACCTGTCTGAGCTGCCCCCGATGCTTATAATCATATTCTTCTGCCTCTATCATGGTTATCACTGAATTTTTAATGATTATTTATCTTCCTATGTCTCCACTAGAAAATAAACTGTTTTTTCAGGAATTCTGAAAAAAACTTTTTTTTTGTTTTGTTAATCCTCACCCAAGGATATTTTTCTATTGATTTTTTTTTTAGGGAGAGTGGAAGAGAGAAGGAAAGAGAGTAGAAACATTGGTTGGTTGCCTCCTGCACAAGCCCCAACCACTGGTCTGGGGAGGAGCCTGCAACCAAGGTATGTGCCCTTGACCGGAATCGAACCTGGGATCCTTTGGTCCGCAGGATGACGCTCTATCCACTGAGCCAAACCAGGTAGGGCTGGAAATCTGAATTTTTCTTTCTTTTTAAAAAAATCTATTTTTATTGATTTCAGAGAGGAAGAGAGAGATAGAAACATCAATGATGAGAGAGAATCATTGATCAGCTGCCTCCTACTGGGGATCAAGCCCACAGTCCAGGCATGTGCCCTTGACTGAATCAAATCCCAGACACTTCAGTTTGCAGGCCAATGCTCTATCCACTGAACCAAACAGGCTAGGGCTGAATTTTTCTCTTAATAAGAGAAATGTGTGATTGGATAGGGAAGAACATCTTAGATTAAAAAAAAATAGAGTGGGAGGTAGTGAGCAAGAATCAAGATTCCATGTAAATAGTTGGTATCAAGGTTTGTGGCATAAGTGGTAAAAATATTTTTAATTCGAGTCAGAAATTCTAAGAAGTTTCTACCAACTTCATAAACAAGAAACATCTATCCTATCATTACTTTGCATGCTGCTTTTCTGAATCACTAGTTGTGTGAGCTTGAACAGGTTACTTAGCCTTTCTGAGATGCTATAAATGCAACAGTAATTCCCAGCTTCGCCCCTTACTGGGACTGAATGAACTAGTGCATGAAAAGTACTCCATGTGGGAAAATGTGAAGGACTGAGAGGGTATTATGCTAAATGAAATAAGTCAGGCAGAGAGAGACAAATATTCTATGATATCACTTACATATAAAATCGAAAGAACAAAATAAACAGAACAAGTAGACTCATAGATACAGAGAACAAACTGATGGTGGCCAGATGGGAGGGTGGTCAGGGGCTGTGTGAAAAAGGTGAAGGGATTAAGAAGTTCATCTTGGTAGTTACAAAATAGCCACAGGGATATAATGTACAGCATAGGGAAAATAATAGTGTATAATATTGCCACAACTATGTGTCGTGCCAGGTGGGTACTAGACTTACCAGAGGGATCACTTCGTAAGTTATATAAATGTCCAACCACTGTGCTGTATACTTGAAAGTAATATAAAATAATATTGAATGTCAACTGTAATTGAAAAATTAAAATAAAATATCCCAAACAGGAAAAAAATAACTATATTGAAATTCCATTAGTAACAAAGTTTTACATACCTGTCAATTAATTGGTATTCCTCAACTGCTGTCTCCTATCATTTTTTTACATGTAAAGTTTTCTTGTGTTTCTGTAGATCTGAGGAGAAAATCAAGCACTTCAGTCAACTTAAATCTGAACTTTTTCTTAAAGACAATACTTTGAGGAAAATAGTTTGTTTAATTACGGAACTTAAAGTAGCAGCCCAGAAAAACTACATTCTGAAAAGGCTTTTCTGGAAAGTAGGTGTTTTAATTTTAACCTTTAAAATGTGTTTCAACTGTTTATCAAACGCAGTATATTCAAGGATCAAGTAAAATGCTGTATAAAAAATGCCACCTTGTGTTTTGATGCTGTATTTTACAATCTTGACTAAATTTAATGTAATTGTGCCTTAACACTGGAAATGTGATGTAATTAATGTATGTGTGTGTTGGGGTGGGGTAGATGGGAAGAGAGGAGAGTGGTAGCAAAAAGATAGTAGCTTGCATAGGTTGGGTTTACAGAATCAAAGAAAAGAGTAACTAAGAGGGGAAGCTTCTGGCCTATGAGATATATGAGTAGAGACAGTGAGATGAGAAAGTAAATTTGAAGAAGTTTTACATGAAGGTTTCCCTACAATAAAAATACACTTAAAAATTACTTTTGAGTGTTTTGAGTCAAAACAACCTAGCTCTCATTCAGCAAGTTTACAGACTTACCCTGTAAGACTTCCTTAGTTTCATTTTCACCTGAACCTTCAGGTGAAAGGTACTGAGAAGGTATTGAGAAGCCCTGATTAGTGCTGGTGCTGGTGCGAATGAGGCTCATTCTCGCCAGTGGCCTCATACATAGTTGCCACCATTTCATTGAGCAGTTGTGATGTGCACAACCTCCCCAATCATACAGGACAGTCCTGGCCATTCCTTAGATCAGCGGTTCTTAACCTGTGGGTCGCCAACCTGTGGGTCGCGACCCCTTTGGGGGTCGAATGACCCTTTCACAGGGGTCGCCTAAGACCATCGGAAAACACATATATAATTACATATTGTTTTTGTGATTAATCACCATGCTTTAATTATGTTCAACTTGTAACAATGAAAATACATCCTGCATATCAGATATTTACATTATGATTCATAACAGTAGCAAAATTACAGTTATGAAGTAGCAACGAAAATAATTTTCTGGTTGGGGGTCACCACAACATGAGGAACTGTATTATTAAAGGGTTGCGGCATTAGGAAGGTTGAGAACCACTGCCTTAGATCCTAAATGCTTCACATGTAGGATGATCACTATTCTGGTTTGCCCACTGTAGGGTGACCAACTGTCCCAGCTGACCATCCCACTCAGGATTTAAAACATTTTTATCAACCCAATAGGTTACCTTTTGCCCTTTGGCAGTCATTTCTTCCCAACCCTGGCCTCAGGCAACTATTGTGTTTTCTGTCACTATAGGTTAGTTTTGCCTGTCCTAGGATGCCACTTATATGGAATTGTACACTATGTACTATTTTGTGTCTGGCTTCTTTGGCATAGTATTTTTTAGATTCTTTCATGTTGTTAAGGTAGGTGGAGATATTTTATGAGTGAAAATTTCTGAACCAGTAAGCAAGTGGGAGATAATAACAATGGATACTTATTAAGCACTTATGATGTGCTAGCTACTATTCAGGCTTTATAAATACTATCTTATTTAATCCTAACATCAACTCAATGAGGGGACATTATTAAGCCTATGGTAGAGATGAAGAAACTGAGTCACAGAGTATATCCGAAAGTTGCCAAATGTCATCCAACTCATCAGTGGCAGAGCTGGGATTTGAACTCAAGAACCTGGCTCCAGAGTCAGTGTGTAAAACTACCACACTATGCTCATCTATCAGGGCTCTGGGTAAGCCCAAGCATTTCTGATGGGCCTGGTGACCAGCTTGCTCCTCCCTCTTTATTCCCTCTCTTCACCTGTCATCCTCAGCCTCTTCTCATGCCATATCACCTAAACAAGGGCACACATATCCCTGTCTAAGCAAAGAATCTAAGTTGTCACTAGTTAAAAAAAAAAAGTTCTGGGGAAAAATTGAACAATAGAGGAAGAGAAAAGAGAAACAATTACGTCATATTTCTCATTAGTACCAACTTGCCTGATTTCATGGGCCAGTGCTTATTTTCATGCTTGATTTATCTCATGAGACTGGATAGGAACACAGAAAAATCGGTTTCCCCACCATACTTCAGTGTTTATTTTGGCAGGAATGACAATGTGCATTACCACTGCATTAACAGAAGTATTAATGTCATTCTGCGCCATCTTCATAGGCTACAGGAGTGCTCTACATTTGTTTTTGTAACAGTAAACATTTTTAAATGAGAGCTTATCTAGCCTTGATTTCATTATATATTCACAAAGGCCAAATTACTTTGGAAAGGCAGGAATTATAGTAGCCCCCAGTTAATATAGTATTCCAAGGTAACTGAATGACTTGCCTGAGATTATCACTTACTTCTGGATACTCTTCAATATTAATGGTCAAACCAAGTCTAGAAGGCATCTCCCAGCATCATTCTCTAGACTTTAGCTCTTGCTCTGTTCACCAGGACAATGGTCTCCTGATTATAAGTAAAAGTATGTTTTCAATGCAAGTTATGCTAGTATTAATGAGAAATATTTTAAATCACTTCCTGGTCAAAGAAGAAATCATTTCTTCTTCTTTTTATTATTATGTAAGCATTGAGAGTTTTACCAATAGATACCTTAACTTCATCATCTTTCCTGCTTGCTTTCACAGACCAGTGATCTTTTCTATTTCTTAGTGAACAAACTTCAAGAGTACTTACCAGAGTCTAGGGATAAGAATGCACTTCAAAATAAAAGCCAAAGAGCTGATGAGCTGGTGTAAGTACTAATTGGATAACCGCACATATTATTTTTCCCTAGGGTGTTAAAGATAAATGGAAGGCACTAGACAAAATATATACTGTTTTAATGATTAATGGTGCAAGTTTTGCTTCACATAGAATTTATAAAATAGCATTCATTTTGTGCTAATTTTTAAAGAAAGACTACACAAGAAACTAGAAATATTGGCTGTCCTAAAGGGGGAAAATTGGGTGTTCTGGAGGAAAGATACTTTTTATTGTATGTATTTTTTTTTAACCTTTGAAATTTTGAGCCTAATATTACCTACTTGAAAAAGTTAAATTATTTTTTTAAAAAGTAGTGCATTATTATAAAAACTTTAGAAAATACACAGAATTATGAAAATGACTTTTAATCCTGACATCCAGTTATTCATTCATGCATTCAGCAAATATTTTTGAGTGCTTACTATGTAGCAATCACAGAGTAGGCACTCAATTAGTGTTGGCAATTTGATATACAGAATTTCCTTCCTGTACTGTACTTTTTTCCACATAGGTACCTGAGTGCAATTCTATTAAGGATTACTGACTTTGTGGAGTTTTGAATTTGTATTGAAATCATGCCATTTCCATGTTTTTTTCTCTCTGTTTTCTAGGGCATGCATTGAAATTATACAGACTCTGGGACTGATGTTCAGAGAAACAGAAACTGAGCCATCACGTCTGAACACATTGGCAGCTAAGAAGTAAGGTTTGAAAATATTAGGACCTTGTAGTTGCAACCCATTAACTACTCTGTTGAATGTCTTCCAAAACTCATAGCTCTCTAACTTCTCTTTTCATCCCCTTGTAAGTATATTAAACTCTTTTGTCCCTCCACTTTGTTCTATGAACAGATTAATTGGCACATGCTGAGTTCTCTCTGTCTCTCTGTATTATTAAGGGCACAAAGATTTTCTTAGTATAATTTTATCTTTTGTCATTGTCTGATGAGCTTGAAAAAGACCAATGACCCACAGTACATTAAAAGCCAGGGGGTTCTCTACTAGAATTTTCCAGAGTACCCTTATATCCACACAGCAGAAAAATTACATTGCAAAGGCAGAAGTTATGGTAGCTTCATTTAATATATAATTATGTGACCTTGGAGTGAATGACGTTGGAGGGTTTATTACCATATAGCATAAGCTGCTATTATAAAGATACTCTAAAATATGTGGCCCAAAGAAAGAAATTTACACCTTCCTCACATAACAGTCCAGACAAGATAGTCAACTTTTCCTCTACACAGGATCAGCCAGAGATCTTGGTTCCCTTCCCTTTTGTTACTCTGCCATCTTTTATCAGGCTATCTTTGTCTTTATGGTTAAAGCTGGCTTTTCTTCTTGATTTAATTACACCCTATGGGAAGCAGTGAGAGGAGTAGAGGGCAAGCAAATTTCTTTTTAAAGCAAGGCATATAAGACTTCTGCTCATGTTCTACTGGTGAGAACTTCAGGCATGTGGTCATAATTAGCTTCAAGAGAGGCTGGAAAATGTGTCTATAGTTGTGTGGTTATGTGCCTAAGTAAACCCTAGATGGTACTGGGGACATATGTAATTAAAAGGAAGAATGCAAGACTGTATAATAGTGGGACAATAATATTCTTTGCCAATAAGGTATGTGTTTACATGTTTTGCATATTATCTGCTTGAACTTTTTATAGGAAGCATTTTTGGCTTTTCAGGCCATATAATCTCTTTTGCAATTACTCAACTCTGTCAGTGCAGTACAAAAGCAGCCATAGACAATACATAAATGAATGGCCATATGTTCCAATAACACTTTATTTACAAAAACAGCATCTGGACCATTGGCCTACAGCAGGGGTGGGCAAACTTTTTGACTCGAGGGCCACAATGGGTTCTTAAACTGGACCAGAGGGCCGGAACAAAAGCATGGATGGAGTGTTTGTGTGAACTAATATAAATTCAAAGTAAACATCATTACATAAAAGGGTACGGTCTTTTTTTTTTTTTTTTTTTAGTTTTATTCATTTCAAACGGGTGGATCCGGCCCGCAGGCCGTAGTTTGCCCACGGCTGGCCTACAGGCTAGTTTGTTGACCCCTGCTTTCCTAGGAAAATATACTCTTGTTCTTTTCTCTGCATACTTCTTTATGCAGCTGGTAGTACCACCATTTCCCCTATCTCCAAGATGGAAATTCAAGATCATTTCTAATATTCCTGTTTTCTCCCACACTGAAATTATTGCTAAAT